TACCTTTAAGGACTAAAATCATCTCAGCATGGTTCTTGAACATTTACCATTAGCCTGGCTGCACAAATAGAATAGTGCAGCCAGACTAATGGTAAAGAAAAAATAGTCAAGAATTAAATGAGTTTCCTTCCTTTCTCCTCTTCACAGGTATGCCCTGGAAGGCTCCAGTCCCAAGTTAATTAATACTACTGTATTTCTACCACTGCAAAGGACAGTATTTTTTATGTCAAGACTGCTCATGGATAACTCTCCATGGAATTATCCCATCTTTAAGAACTATGCATTTGGCAACAAACAGCCTTACAAGAAAGAAATCTGTGCAGATGTAACCATTTAAATTTAACTGAGACTTGCCCTGGTGTATGTCATGCAACCTCCCTGGTGATCCCAAAAGGTACTCTTCTATAACATCCTGATTAGAAGATTTTGAATACATAAAGTGATGAAGGTTTCTACAAGAGTTAAATTATTATTGTAGACCTGAGTTCCAATATTTTATAGCTCTGTGCACACAGGTTGCACTCAGGCCAATCACAGTTTCATCTCAACAGATTTGTTGTGATACAGAAAATGAACTGGAAAAGCATGGGGCATAAATAAAAATATTTCTAGTACATTTTAAGCGATGCAGTGCTCAGTGGCTAAGACACTGAGCTTGTTGATCAGAAAGGTTGGCAGTTCGGCAGTTCGAATCCCTAGTGCTGCATAACGGAGTGAGCTCCCGTTACTTGACCCGGCTTCTGCCAACCTAGCAGTTTGAAAGCATGTAAAAATGCAAGTAGAAAAATAGGGACCACTTTGGTGGCAAGGTAACAGTGTTCCGTGCGCCTTTGGTATTTAGTCATGCTGGCCACATGACCACAGAGACGTCCTCAGACAGCGCTGGCTCTTTGACTTTGAAACGGAGATGAGTACCATCCCCTAGAGTCAGAAACGACTAGCACATATGTGCAAGGGGAACCCTTACCTTTAGTACATTTTAACCAATGTTTCAAAATAAACAGTTCCTCTAAGAAAATAGAGAAAATATGATCACAAAGAAATCAAAGCAGGCTAATAAACAAAACCTTTCTACTTTATGAATTCTGATTTTATTCAGGAGCAGAATATTATAAAGGCCCTGATCTTTGTGAACTCTTGTTTTTATCAAGAATGCAAAGGAGAAAAGAGATCAGCATATCTTCTGATCTATTCTTACACAATTTCAGAGTCTACCATGTCCCCTATGAACTTGATATTTTATCAGTCGTGATAAGTCTGTTAAAGCTATAATTTTAAATTTAAATGATGAGAGGTTTCATTTGTTTCCCAAGCAGAGATAAAACCTTTTTCAAATCTACTCCAGCTGCTGTGACCTTGGTCTATGATTTAAAAGTTCACATGCAATAATTTACTTTATTCCAAGGGACCTTTCAAGATTTCTCTTCTAAAATGGTTTTAGATTTGGTGGCTTTGTGTAAAAGCCTAATATCTTTATACAAAGCAACATCATTTGAACTCTGAATAACAAAACTAAGAGGAAATTAATATAAATTTAAAGGTGTAACCAAATCTACAGGGAAATCCTTTCAAAGAATGTGGTGAAACCATGTCAAACTTGAAAATAATTAGCAAATCATGCTGTCACTGTTAGAAAGGAAGCAGAGGTAATTGGCCATTGATGACAGTAACCCTCTTTCAGGATCCTATCATTGATTAAGAAGGACTTTTAAGCCAAGGACAGGAGCAACTTTTTTCAGTCAATTAGACTCATAGAATCATACAAGCGCAGACATAACACGTGAAACAAGAAATATTGATATGATTCACAATTCTTGTATGTGAAGCTATTCACATCCAAAATGAAAAAGAAACTTTGGCAAGAGCATGGAATTACTCCCTTCACATGTTGACTCTACTTTTAAAAAGTTGCACCTTTTCTTAGGCTCATGAATCCAGTAAAACAAATGAATAAAAAACATTAAAATTGCTCATTTACTTATTGAGGAAAATTATCCAAAGCTATATATTTGAGTATGACAAAAAGTATGTGAATCTCCTAGGATTATCAGTTCATTTGAACGTGAAGTTAAGGTTGTTTCAATCAATGGGATGATAATTGGTACAAGTGTGGAAGCTGTTATGTGGGCAGAAAAAGATTACAAAGCTATTTCCAAAGAGTTTGGACTCTGCCAGTCTATTGTCAGGCAGATGGTATACAAATTAAGGCAATTCAGCTCCATTGCTACTCTCCTAAGGAGGACACACTAACCAAGATCACACCAAGAGCGAAGTATGTAATATTCCGGATACTCTCAAGGAACCCTAGCTTATCCAGAAGGATATCATAGTCAATGATGTTGAAAATTGCTGTGAGATCAAGAAGGGCCAGAATGGTTAAATCACTGCCAAAGATCATTCACAAGCATACCTACGAATTAGACAGTGACTAGAAATGCTGCAAAATGGTTCTTAAGAGTGTTTTCTCCAGGGCAAATTACCTAGAACAGGGGTGTCAAACTCAAGGCCCGAGGGCTGGATCCAGCCCGTGGGGTGCTTAGATCTGGTCCATAAGGCCACTCTGGAAACAGCAAAGGACCGGCCCACGGTGCCTCTGCCAGTGGAAAATGGGCTCTCAAGCTCTGTTTTTGCTGGCAGAAGGTTGCAGGAGGTCATCGCAGCCAAAAATGGAGCTCGGGAGCCCGTTTTCACTGGCAGAGCATTTGGGCCACCATAGGCTCCAACACAAGTGACGTTGAGCTGGCCACACCCACCCTGGCCCCCTGAAGTCAAACACAACCTTAATACAGCCCTCAATGAAATCCAGTTTGACACCCCTGGCATAGAACAAAGCTGTTATTACTGGGTAAAAAGAAGTCTAGAAACCATATTCCGAATGCTTTCCTCACATCACTTCCATTTTTGAGTTCATTCTACATGAGATTTCTTGGTATATTTTTAACAGTTCAAAAGCTAATGCCTGTCTTAGAATAACCTTAACATTTTGGCTGCAGAGATTCTCAATCATCTGCGTCACAGTTATACCAAAGGTACTCTTTCAAAAAGCAACTGACGTTTCTTAGGGTTTTTTTCCCCCCTTGAAAACATTTTGCTTCTCATCCAAGAACCTTTTTCAGGTCTGAAAGACTGAACTGAAGCAGCTTCTTGGATGAGAAGTGAAATGTTTTCGGGGGGGGGGGGGGTTAAGAAATTATAGTTGCTTTTTGGGAAAGCACCTTTGGGATTTAAGATTTTGGAAAAATCTATGATTAAGAGAAGCAAAAACATAAAACTAAATAGAATATATGTGTGATAGAAGTGTGCAAAGAAGGTAAAATCAACCTTGCTTGATGTAGGAAGCAAACATATTGTTCTCCATAAATTATTTTGCTCTATTCTAGACAAACTTTTCCACAATTTTAAACCAAGAATATTTCTAACTGTAACTGAAAATAGACTGTAATTGGGATTTTCTATATGCGCTATTCTGTAAAATTATGAAAGGATCATTGTAATCATATTGTACCATATTGATATTACTATTACAGTGGACCTAAGTTGGCAAAGGTAGTATCATCATTAACTATGGAAAGCTTTTGTGAGACAGTTATACATTAAATTCATTTTAACTAGGAGATTTTTTTAAAAACTGTGGGATTCATAATAGCCTATCTGCTGCAGGTACTGTTAATCCAGAAACCAGAACAGGTATTAAAATTCTGGGCAGGATTTTGAAGCAGAGGTCCAGGGAAACACTGAATGGCAGTAAAGAGACACAGTGGGAACAAAAAACTTTTCACTACCATCTAATGACGGCAAAAATGTACTGGAGTTGGGAGTTTCTGAGTGGAAATCCTAAAAACCTTCCCTACGAGGATGTCTTCCATTTTAATTTAAATTTTAGCTAGAATAGCAGAATGGCAGATCCAAATTCATTTTCCCCATCTGGAACCTTACACAGGTAACCCTTGATTTACAACAGTTCATTTAATGACCATCTGAAGTTACAACTACACTGAAAAAGTGACTTTTGACCATTTTTTACACTTATAACCATTGCAGCATCTGAAGTTACAATTTTAAAAGTGACTTACAACCGTTTTTTACACTTACAACCATTGCAGCATCCCCATGGTCATAAATAAGTATAATCTTTATTGTCATTGTACTTAAATACAACAAAATTGGTTTCGGTCATGTGATCAAAATTTAGATGCTTGGCAACTGAATCATGTTCATGATGGTTGCAGTCTCTCAAGGTCATGTGATCATCTTTCACAACCTTCTTACAAGCAAAGTCAACGGAGAAGCTAGATTCACTTAATAACCAGGTTACTAACTTAACAACTGCAATAAACACTGCATATATAATTCTTTGTCTATAATAATTCTTTGTCTATAATAACCTCACATAAGAAGACAGGAGTTAGCTAGCTGCAAAGTAAGGTAACTGGTCCCTCCAGCCCATTTAATAGCTGGAGTTTTCCATAATTTCAGACCAAGAATATTTCTAACTGTAACTGGAAATGGACTGTAATTGGGATTTTCTATATGCACTTTTTCTGTAAAATTATGGAAGGATCATTGTAACACAAAAGCCATATTGATATTACTATTACAGTGGATCTAAGTTGGCAAAGGTAGTCTCATCATTAATTATAGAAAGCTTTTGTGAGACAGTTATACATTAAATTCATTTTAACTAAGAGACTATTTCAAACATTGTGGAGTTTTTGCTGGATATAATGAATCATCAGAATGGCTGCCAAACAAGTCAGCCTTTTCAAAACAGTCACCTACCAGTAATCTAAAAAATGTTAACATCTACCGGTAGCTTGACAGCAGCTCTGGAAAAAGTAAAGCTACCAGATTACTTTATTAAACATTAAGTTGGCCTAATGAAAGATACCGTCTTATTAAAACAATGCCAACCAATTTTGCTTAGTAAAAATATTTTTATACAAAAGTACAGTATTTTTAAAAAGAAGAAGTAATGAGAAAACAAAATGTAAAAATCTTACCTCATTCCCCCCAACAGCTTTAGTTAAAATCACTGCTGAAGATACAGGCGGAGGCATACAGCCTACTGTCTGCAAACTAGAGAAGGATAAATGAATACAAATTTTATTTTTCTAATTAATCTTCAATACAAAAGAAGGGGGCATAGCTATATTATTTGCTAAATGACTAACTTAAATACAAAATGACTTCTGAATCTGCTGCTTACAAATAGTTAGCTGATCCAATGTCTCTGAACAACTTTATTATTTATTAGCAATTGTACCATTGGAGATCATCTAGCAGAGGGGTATCAAACCCAACTTATTGAGGGCTGCATCAGGGTTATGTTTGACCTTGCGGGACCGGGGGGGCATGGTCATGGTAGATGTGGCCAACTCAATATCCCTCATTGAGGCTCTGTTTTTGGCTGCGATGGCCTCCTGCAGCCGTCTACCAGTTAAACCAGAGCTGCACACAACCTGCCCGGGCTCCGTTTTCAACGGCCTCCTGCAGCTCTCTGTCAGTGAAAATGGATCTCAGGGAGGCCATGTGCAGCCCACTCAGGCTCTGCTTTCAGCCGTGATAGCCTCCCCAAGCTCCGTTTTTGCTGGCAGAAGGCTGCAGGAGGCCGTCAGGGCAAAAAACGGAGGCCAGGTGGCTATATGTGGTCCTCCCAACCTCCATTTCCGCTAGCAGAGATACCAGGGGTGGGGGGGTCTTCGCTGTTTCCAGAGTGGGCCTGCAGGCCATATCTAAACACCTGCAGGCTGGATCTGACCCACGGACCTTGAGATTGACTCCCTTGATCTAGAAATGTTCCATTCATTGAGTACCCAAGGCTTTCCAGGTCCAAAAAGTCAACCATGCAGGTATAACCATGCAATCAAAGCCCCACATCCTTTTAATGTGTATTGCATGTGTCTAATGAACATAAGGAGGAGTGAAGCCCCTTGACTTTTTTAAATTTAAAAAAAAGATGCTCCCTACACAGAAAAAAGAAGATATGTACATTCAAAATAATTTATACACTGAATTTCCAGTTAAAATGGAGGAAGTCTGATCTGTACCAAAATTGAAGTTTCTTACTAACTTCAAAGCATTCATAGTAGAAAAAACTAAGAGCAGAATAAAACCTTCCTGTTACAAAGTATTGCTTTTCATATGGACAGAGAAATTATATTAAAATGACTGGAGGTTCAAGCTACAATTCCTGAACACTTTCATGATTCAAATTTTATTGTCCTTAACTGTTCAATGGCCTGCAAATCTACTACATTGAGGAATGTATCATAATTCCTTTCACGACATATTCCTAGATAAACATACGACTTTCTTCTTTCCATTTTCAGAAATACAATATATAATAAAGAAGAATTCTACATTAATATTTCATTAAACAATTATACTTTGATAGTTCTTGACATTTTTGTTGAGGTTGACACTTATGCACTTACTTTTCCATTTTCTATGACTACTAGTCAGTGAACACATTTACATATCAAATAAAATTCAAAATTATGAGTAATAGTGACTATAACAGACTTCTCAAGTCACTATTTGAAATAATGAAAAATAATGCAAAGTGCTGAAAAAGAAACTTCTACAAAATTGTGCTTTGAAATTCAGTATGCTATTTCATGAACAGTCAATGTTTATCCTTTTATTCTACCATGTCTTACTGTATTCTTACTCCAATATTCTTTGTAAGCAATCAGCAAACATAGCACAGGCATGTTAAAAAGAGACATGAAGTGCAAGTCCCTACATATAAAATTTGTTGCCAAGCCTTTATATGTGGAATAAAAATTCTGAAAGGGTAACCTAAAAGCAAGAGTCAAACCATTAAGCGGCACGAAAAAAATAAGTTCACTGGTTTTTTTTAAAAAATGCTAGCATTACTGGAAGTGCATTACTGAAAGAGCAGTGATAAATAGTTCACTGCTTAAAACATACCCTTTTAAAAGCCATTCATTTATAGATGTAATAGATAGAAGCTGAAGAAATAGCCATATAACTGTTGGGAAGAATACAAGTGTGAAGATCTGTACAAAAAGATGCAATTTTACATGCATCAAAGCACTTGTCAGCTCCTACGAAACAAAAGAAGAAAAATGTTGCAGATTTAACAGCTGAAGTAGTATTGCTCAAGTTAGTATCATTAAATATATTAGGTGCAAATACTTTTCAGGTGTACATTCTGTTCTTAAACAGTAAATAACAGTTTGAATTCACTTATAGTGACAAAAATATGACATGGCATTGTCTAAAACAAGTACAGTTTGAATATTTTTATCTATTTCATTTTTTTTAACTTATTCATACACTTTATTTAAAGGATTTCAGTCAATTTTAGCATACATGGACACAAAAGGGAAAAAAAACATGGCTACATGTTTGGAGTAAAATTTACTCCATCATTTACTCAGTAAATGATTGTTCTGAACAGCGTTTAAAATGGCATTTTTTCATATGGTACAGAACTCCTATCCTCGTTAAATAAGTGCATACCACAAATAATGTTAATATATGCATGGAACTTTGAGGGTTAACAAGAAGCAAACCACAGCTTATAAACTATTTTTGTGCTCTTTTATAATATGGCCATCTCAAGACATCTATGTCATAGATCCATGACAGCGAACCTATGGTACGTGTGCCACAGGTGGCACACAGAGTCCTCTCTGTAGGCACGCCAGCCATTGTTCCAGCCCAGCTCCAACGCGCATGCACGCATGCCTCCCGTTGGCCAACTGGTCTTCAGTTCTCTGCCATGCATGCACTGGGGGTGGTGCGCATGTGGGATGTGGGATATTTGTGGATGAGCATGCGCACGCATGGGGGGGCACGGTGGCACCCCATGAGGTCCCCCTGTGCTCCATTTTGGGCCTGGAAAACCTCCTGCACCAACCTGGAAGCCAAAAATGGGAGAGTTGGGCGGGGCGCATGTGTGGGGTGCGGGGGGAGTTGCGCACGCATTGCATTATGGGTGTGGGCACGGGCGCAAGCTATCACCATGTGCACGGTCTCGGCATACAACAACAAAAAGGTTAGTCATCACTGCCATATATTATACTGATATAAATTTTAAAAATGGGGTTAAAATACCAGTTAGGGAATTCTGAAGTTGAAGTTAAAAATGAGGAAGACTGACATGCAACCAACAGTAACTGTTCAGTGATAATGTCATCATTTTAAAATGTGTCCTTACTACCAGACTCTTAAAATAACCCAGAAATTTGTTATTATTTAAGTAACAAATGAATAAATAAAGGATGAATATTCGGTTTGCAGTACCTCTGTTTTCAGAGATAGTCCACTATTGAAGAATATAGCAGAGACAGCTACATATGTGATAGTGATTTCTGGTTTCAGTGGTCCTGGAAGAGAAAACATATTTGAAGCAAGAGTAAACAAAAGCAACAAACTTCTGTAAGTCTTCCCTTTAACATTTATAAAGGCTATTAAGATATCCTCCAACTGTGCATTCTATAGAGGTTTAAACCAGAATTCATTCATTCATTCATTCATTCATTCATTCTCCCTCCCTCTCCCTCCCCCCACTCCTCAATCTAGAACTTGCTGCAATGGGCCTTGTCGAAACTAACAATAACCTTGTGATTAAGAGAAATAGATGCATATCAGTAATGTCAGCCATAAGGTCTATTTCTCTAGATTGTTTCTTGTTAATTATATAATTTTCATTTCATGCCATCTTAAACTATAATTTGCAGTAGAAAGAATAGAGACTCAAGTTCTGGACATGCACTTTAAAGCAGGTTTCTTCTAATTTTAACTATTGTAGTAACCCTGAAAGTCCAGATTCAAAGAGAAAATAATGTCCATTTTACATATAATGAAAAGAATGATGTTTCTACAAAGCTGGTACAGTAATAGCAGATGGTAGTAAAAGACCCAAGTTCCTTTGTATTCTGCAGCTTAAGAAGAAAAGTTAGGTAATTGTCACACCATTATTCACTACAGGCGATAGTTAGAAAGGGACAAAATGTGGGGGAGAGACATGAGTGCCTTCTGATTGCTTTTAAATTTCACCTCACATAGGAATTTGCAAAATGCCATACAATACTGATTATCTTTGATGATACAAAAACAGAGTAATAGGTACTCATAACATTTATACATCAACATTACTGGCACCACTTTTAAGTTCTGATAATTGGGGAAGAAAAAACAACAAAGTTTTCTTGGCAGCCAAAAAGACCCTTCTTACTTCTCAAAGTAATGCGGGCTGAACTATTCCCTCAGGCAGTTCTAAGTACAAGACCAGAAAAGACACTATTAAAATGAAACATGAAGGGCACAGTTTTGGCACCTTGATACTACAATAATGTGGATACTTTTTAAACTTTTATTTATTTTTTCTTAGGTTCAGGTTTGTTGTATATGATTACTGCTTGTATTTTAAGAAATGCAAAATAAAGGCCAATGATATAATCTTATCAAAGTCAGTACTACTAAGTCAAACATCTGCAGGATTGCAGTTCCACTATCACAGTTGTTCAGGAATCTCTAATTACAAAGACTTCAGAGGCCCATATTTTGAAAGATATTTCTGCAAAGGAAGAAAGGGGGTAATCAAAAGCCTGGTTAAGTGATATTATTAAGGTAGGCCACCTGCTGAAGCAAGGAAGCAAGGATTGCAAAAAACATTTGCAACTAAATGAAACAAGACAACATGAACTTTTCTAAAGAATATTTATTTTAAAATAAATCACCGTATTAACATATACTGACTTCCCACAAAATCCCCACTTGTATGAACATTAAAGAAAGTGAATTTGTCCATTACGGAAAATAGAAAATTATATATTCACTCTACTTTGCCTCACAAGAAATGCAATGGAATCTACAGAATCTATGAGAAATAATTACTTAAAGCAACCTTGGGAGATTTACTTTGAGCCTATATAACCTTTATGCATAATATTTCAAGTTCCTCAACTATACCAATATAAGTAGAAGTGATCACTAAATCACTTTTTAAAAAGCATTAATTTTGCAGGAGGTTTTAGGAAAAATGGTATACAATACAGAAACTCATGAAGCTGTTAGAAGCTGATAGATGGCAATTCATATCTTAATATTGTAAAGGTAAAGTTTGGGAAACACACACTTTTAAGGCTACTCTTCACCATCAGAATGAGCTATCTACCAATTAAAAGTTTACAAGTAATTGTAAAGACTGTAGATAGTAAACACTACAGTATATCCAGTGAGCCATTTCCCCTTCTGTCACAAAACAGGAAATGCACTAAGTGCACATCACATGCACAAACATATATCTCACAATCTGATTTCAGTACTGCATACTATAGTAGATAGTGTCCAACATTGTATATAACGTAAAGGCTGTGTTATCTAAAATGAGGTTACCTGTCCTGTTAGATCATGAAAGGTTCCACTGCATGTGAAGTGAGCGTTATGGACTGGAAGCCAAGCTTTATCAACTGTACCCTCATGAAACACCTTTTCTGTTGCTGCAATAACTTTCCCTGAAGATAATTTGATTCCTTCCATCATGGAACTTCGAAGCCTAAGGCAATTTTTGTTTTTTAGAGGTGATTTGCCATTGCCTCCCTCCTAGGGTTGAGAGAAAATAACTGGCCAGGTGGCTTAGTACCTAAGGAAGAACTAGAACTCTTGGTCTACTGGTTTTCAGTCTGATGCCATAATCACTACACCAAACTGACTCTTTACTAAAAAAAATAATATAATAAAGTTACCCTGGCTTATCCAAAGTGAAAAGATAGGGGTGGTATATAAACTGTGATAATAAAAATAGAATAGTGCGAGTGGGTGGGTGTCCTGTATACTTATGCACCAGAAGTGGTATTCAGCCGGTTCTCTCTGGTTCGGGCGAACTGGTAGAGGCAGATGCAGGAGGCTTTGCCCACCCACCCCGATGTAATGTGTGAGCACTGTGCATGCGCAGAAGGCAGTGCGCAACGGAGCTCACATTTGTGAACTGGTATGGAAGGTAAGTGAATCCCACCACTGATACATACACAATATAATGTATATAAACACAAGATTTAACTTAGTCCCACACATCGTGAAGCCATCATGGACTGAATATAGAGTTTGATTTTCAACAAAAGGAAAGTCTGTTGTTCTCTCCTAAAACTAGAAGAAAAAGAAGTTCCTCTAAAAGTTTGCCGAAACAGCAGGACAATATATATATTCAATTCATGAACTGGACTTCACACAGTTCTCTCCAGAAGAAAAGTGATAATTATCTCCAATTAAAGAAAAATAATGTTCCACAGGTGAACAGGATACATATGTTATCCCAAAATATGAAGTTGCACTAACACATCAGAGTTAATACTTTGTTTAAATGTTCAGTCAGCCCAGGATCAGTACAAAATGATCTCAAAGCTTATTGGTTAATTCTTCCATTACTATTGGAAGAATTAACAGGTAAAATAAAAGTTCAAGAAAGTGACAAGCACAACCCTTTTCTAATTTAGGAACAGCTTATCAAATCTGACAGCCATTTAAGAACTGTAAATTTCTATCACTTGAATGACTTTGAAGTTTCTACACTTGTTGCACATCCTTAAGCCCTCTAAGTGGGGCGCTACTACATGCCCTTAAAGGCTGTCTGTGTGAACTACTAAGTGGAGCGCTACTGCGTGCCCTAAAGGGTGTGTGTGAACTACTTTATCCCTACTTCGACAGCAGCAGCTGAAACACACACACACGCGTTGTCTCTTGCTGCAATCGCAGCCGGATCCTTCCACGCGGAAGTGGCATCTCCCCGCGCTCGCTCGCCGGCCGTGCAACGTGTCACACTACAAAACTCCTGGAGTTTGGCGTCCGGGGAAACTCCGACCTTCCTTTGGGAAGGCAGAAATCGTACTATTTCCAAGGGACGGTGGAAAACCCTAGGAAGAGGAAGGCAGCTGGACTCCCAATGGCGCTGCCCTGTTACGAAGGGGGCAACTCTTGCATTGCTCAGGCAGACACACACACACACACACCCCTAAGCCCGACTCAACCCCGATTTTGGGGGACAGCGGGCGGAAAGGGGGTTCAGCTCGGACCCTGGGCAGCTCTGCCCGTTTCTCTCCGCTTTGCTTGCAAACCAGCGAGCCCCGGTTGTGAAAGAGGGGTGAGCGGGGGGGGGGGGCGCTTCCCCGGGAGACTTACCCCCCTTCACCCCAAAGGCCGGCTCCAGCTTGGCGACGGTGATGGCCAGGACGATCCCCAGCATGAACCAGTCCTTCCTCAGCCTGTCCAGGATGCCCATGGCAGCGGCGGCGGCGGCGGGGCTGGCCGAGAGAGTCGGGCGCCTGAGGGGAGCGAGGGAGAGGGCGGGGGAGGAGAGCCGGTCAGGACCTCCCTCGGGCCCTCCCGCAGAGCGGCTCCGCAACGTGCCGCCGGCCGCGGCCAAACCAGTTAAACGCCGCTCCCGCCGCCGCTGGGAAGTATCCAGTGACAGGAACAGGCTCCCTGAAAGCCGCCATCGCTACCACGCGACCGCTAATAGACTCGCGCGCTCTCAGCTCTGGCTCTGGAGGGCAAGGAGGCGGTAGGAAGGCAGCAACAGCCAGCCCGCCCGCCAGGCAAGGGCGCCGCGACTAGGACTCTCTGCACCCATGGGGGAGGGTCGTGGGGGCGGCGGGGACGACCCAAGCAGCGACCAAGGGCTAATCCGAAGGAAGGAACGTAACCGCCAGAACTGGGTGCCTAAGAGCGCCTCCGAAGCAGGCTAAAGGTCGGAGGAGGCCACCCCGGGTACGTCCCCTAAGTTGGAAGGAAGCGCCTGTGGGAGGGCAGGGATCCCGCACACGCTGCCTTTCCTCGGCGGCTGGCAATCGGAGAACAGGGAGAATGCCGGGAAGCCCTTCTGAAGCCGAACCCAGCGTCGGGAGAAAAAGCAATGGGAAACGTCCGGGGCTGATGGAAAGGGCTTGCGCGCCTCTTCGAAGCTTTACGTCCGCTCTGTGACGCAGCGGCGTTTAGCGTGAGAACGGGGCTGGAGGGCGGGGCTGTGCTTTCAATGCCTGGCGTGAGACACGTGTCGCGGGACTCGCACTTCGGGAGGGCGAAGGGGAGAAGGACGAGGGTGCTAGGGGTCGTATGAGCGCGCGCACCTGAGCGATCGGTGGTTAAAAAGCGGCCGGGAGTTACCTTCCTGTATAGGGTTGTGAATCGTGGGTGCAATAGAGTTATAAGACTCTACCTATACGACTTTTTTTATTTATTTTATTTATTTAGTTTGTCAAACGTATGAGATAATAGGTATAAGTATAATAAACATGGACATGAACACAGGAAATGGGTACTTGTTGGGATTTGTTTTAATGTTAGTTAACCGCGCAAAATGAACTAGTGCTGAGAGATTTTCCTTCCTCCTTCCTTCCTGGGTGATGCCATCTTTCTTGCGTGTGTTTCTCCAGCGAGATTTAGAGCTTCCTTCTAAAAATTGCATGCAGGGCGGGAGAGAGAGAGAGAGAAAGAGCTGCAGGAACAGGTGGCGGGGGGGTGGGGTGTCCGCCGTTTCTGCAGCCGCAATTTTAGTCTTGATCCCTGGGGATTGGACTACGCGGTTTTGAATCAAAATCTCGAAGTAGAGTTTATCGTTAATTGCCCTGAATGCATGTAGTTGATTTGTTGTCTCAATTCTCATGGAAATTTACAGATGACAAAAAAAAAAAAAATTAAAACACCCCAGGAACAAAACTATTATAGCATCAAGTAATCTCGAACGGTGCTAAATTGGCCATAATGGGTTATAATGTTGTCTGACCAGAATCCTTAACTGTTCAGTAGAGAAAGGACAGGCCACAGATGCTGTGTGGAAACTCCTGCAAGGTATCTTCTGGCCTGGTCTGAGAAGACTGTGATGCACTCCCAGGCATTAGGAAGAAGTTTCTCTTGGCCTCATTAGCTCCTCATTTTCTGCTGGCAGGGAAGACAACTGTCACAGTTACCAACCAGGATCCCAACCAGGGTTGCAATTCTGGAAGTTCTAGTTTCAACTTCTGAAGGACACCAGCTGGTGATTATATTTGCTGATCACCCTTGTCAAAGATTTTTATTACTTATCTGTTCTGTTTTTACAACAATTGCATAATCTGTTAAAAGCAACACACCCACAAAAATGAAACACCATTTCATACATTTAATTTTCTAAATTATACTATCTATTTAAATTGTGCTGCAGTCCAATATGCATTTACAGACATGAATATTACCTGACTTCAAGGAGGATTACTCCCTGTTAAAAGATTAAGATGATTAAGATACTTATGTATATTCTAGTGTCATGTAGGAAAGAGATGTTATGACTCTCCAGAGGTTGCTGAAATAGTGTTCAGTTTAACTGTAGCTAACACAGCCGTTGCAACATCCTCATTACTGTGCCTGGCTAATTCCTGGTGGATGCCAGACAAGTTTTATCTTAAGAGAGCAGATGCTACTGCTACTTAAGAAATACCTGTTTACTCTTAACAAAGAAATGAAATTTCTTAAGAAATGTTTCTATTTAAAAAAAATGCCTATGTTTACTCTTGCCTCAAAGATTGCCACAATGTCATTGCTATCATCAGGTAAGAGCTACTATGAGATGCTTTTCTTTCCCCAACACAGCAGTAAGTTGTTTGTTGTTGTTAGTTGCGAAGTCGTATCCAACCCATCACAACCCCATGGACAATGTTCTTCCAGGCCTTCCTGTCCCCTACCATCCTCTGGAGTCCATTTAAGCTCTCATGCCTACTGCTTCAGTGACTCCATCCAGCCACCTCATTCTCTGTCGTCCCCTTCTTCTTTTGCCCTCAATCGTTCCCAGCATTA